CCCGCTGCGCAAATTTTTTCCGCAGGTGGGGCCAGGCGGGTTGAAAGCCCCATGTGCAGCCCCACCAGTGGTGGGGTCACAGCCCAACCTGGCCCCGGCAGCCAGGTGGGGCTGGTGTTTACAGGGATTTGAAATAATTTATTCGATACCAGTAGTCTTAAGTTTTCGCCGAAAGTCCAAAATTTGATGAGAATTAATGTCCTTAACAGAAAAAAATAATTTTCGTCAGCGCAGTTTAGTATTTTTCAGCCGTATGAATTTCGATTCGCGTTATTGTAAAAGCAGGCCCACATTCGCGTATCACGCGCCATTCTCCGCGTGGCACATCCATGTCTGGTTTTAGCACATCAAATCTATTTTTGTGGTGCATCTTCTACAAGATGATGGGATACTGGCGTTTGCCCATACATCATAGTGGCTAACAGTCTTTCGGCAAATGGGCAAACGGCTTCGCTTTTGCCAAATAGGCCATACTGCCCAATGCAGAGGATTTCTAAATAAATATTGTGATGGATAAAGTGCGCCAGACAGTTTAGAACGTAACTTTGTCGTTCTGGCATCACTTATAGACACTTCTTATTTTAATTTTTCCGAATTATATGTGGGATCCCGTCACTCAATCAATGCATCTCCGCTTTTCCGGATAATTAAATCATACAATATTGGACTTATAAATGATAAGGTATACAATTATCCGAATGTTCGTAAACAGACCAGTGCAAGTCCTTTTGTTTTCAGCGAAGTTCGGCGTACCCAGCCTTTTATATAACCATGCAAGGAAACTTGATTGCATAAAATATTTGGTTATAATATGTCTTCACTGCCACAAATTGGTGCATGGGCTGTACTGAAGCTTCACTCTCGCTCTTGTCCCGTAGTTCGCGGTCGTCTATTAAATGAGTAAGGTGGATGTAAATATTGAGGGGATGCGCAGACCCCACGAAAACCCTACAGAATGGAGAGTCAGGAAAGCCTTTTTGGAAAAAAATGCTGGAAAGCTTGATGTTGATAGGCTAGAATGCTTATCACAATGCTTTGTAAACTGTGAATTATATGGATGCGGTTATCCCGACAAAGTTATGAATGAGGTAATTTCCACCTTCCTATATGACATTCTTTAGATTAAGGACCTCGGCTCTGATATAATTGACAATATCTATCCGAACCGGAGTCGGTAATGTTGGCTTATCTTCTACCGAACATTATTTCATTGTTAATCTATCATCCAATGTATCCTAACTTTTGTATGCATACAATTATACTATAAACATCTATTTTCTTCTTTCCTGAAATGACCGTACTGATTTCGTGAATTAAGAAGTTTCTGCTGATAGCGAGTTGCACCTATTCGATTTGGCTTTCAGATCCTCATGTATCTGATTGCTGGGGTCAGCGTAAGCACTGAATGTCTGGTCTCATGCCTTG